TGTTAAATAAGTCCTTAAGTCGAACCTATAGAAGCTTTGCTAACAGCTTAATTTACTTAGATAACCAGTCAGTGAAAAGAACTTCGTTATTGAACTTCCCAAGGAAAAAAAAACTTCCTAAAACTTCATGAAAGGATATTCAGTTTCCTCTTTACTGTGTAAGGAAGGTCAAGAACACCCTGTTACTTGGAAAGTTAAGAAAATCCATTTGAATTACATTATCGACTTTAATTGACATTAAACAACGAATGGTGTCTCTCAGACACAACATGCTAGGGGCAAAGGTCAATTTTAAGGTACCTATGTACTAGATGGAAATTTGAGTATACCCTCATATTCTGTGTAGCAAAAATTATGCTGGTTTGGTTTATAGTTGATGTGAAGTGTGTCAGTTTCGTGGTCTCTTGGGTGTCAGCATCATGAAGCCTATCATTAACACTTCATAGTTAATATAGTACATGTACATGTAGGACCTCTTGTAACGCTTCCTGTCATATATCAAACGACTGTGAATTCTTCGAAAAAACATACATGAACTCCGATACATAACAGTGTAGTATACATGTATTAAAATACCAAAATAATAAACAATTTGAGATGTTGACACAGCAATGTAATGAAAAAATTTCACTTCAGTTCATTATTACTTAGTTGTCCCTTTGAAAAACTGTGTCATAGACAAGACTTTTGTGAAATTGCTATATAACCTCATTTTTCTATGGCCATAATTACTGACATTGATATATACAACTGCTGTTTTTAATGGAATAATGGTGGTTTGCAAAACTGAAGTTTGATGTCATGTTGGGTCCTTAGTAAGTAAAACCTTGGAGCATAATTAAGATGTTTTATCACAATTAATCAAGTGTACATATACAGTCACTGTCATAATTGAGTGGGTTCTTGAATTTATGCACATCTCTTTATCTTGCACATTTTAAAGTTTAAATGATTTCCATGCCATTTTTACTGGGAGTGATAGTTCGTGCCTTTGTCATAGAGGAAGTTAATTTCACCAAGTTTATAATTACGACAGCCAATTAATAAGCCCCACTTTTTTGATGAATTCAGTAAACTTCAGAAAATTATAAAAATTAAGAAACGACAAATTTTTAAAAAGGATATATTCAATGATATTAGCTTTTCAGCATTTGATTTATTACAAAGTTACATTTTAGCAAGTTTAGTGTGTGAAATATTATTACTCTTGTGTATGCAGTATGTAAAGATTCAGTATTACAAACATCAATATCAAAACTTTGGTATCTCAAAAATTGATATCAAAACTTCGGTATCTCATTTATTGATATCAGAACTTTGGTATCTCAAAAATTGATATCAAAACATCAGTATATCTCAAACATTGATGTCTTAAACACCATGGACATGCCGAAGTGAGTTGGAAGTCTCAACTACTTTTTCTTTAAATGTCTATTTTAATTACCTGAATATCTTGAATCCTTAGATGTCTCTCAGTTTTTTCTCAGCCCTATTGAGTTTGAGATAATGAGGTTTGACTGTACTTATAATTCTAACATATTCAAATTAATTTAAGCGCACTGTGTGTCATGGACTATTAGAACATTCATGAATCAGTTAAAACATATGTTAATCATATACAAATGTATTTGTAATTCATATTTTTTTTGCAGTGACCATGAATTAGCACAGTTAATAAACAGAGGAGATGCTAAACTTAATTGAATCCTGGTAAAATAAGTACATATACAATATACAATTAAAGTTGGAATTAAATAATCATGCATTTATCTATAAAGGATAAATTACATATCATATAATGAAAATATTACTGTTGTAACTCCAATCTTGCAATACGTTATATGCAACATTTTGAAAACAAAAAAATGATTTGTGCAATTCAGTCAGGTAGATCGTAATGGGGATTTGGGCTGAATTTTATATGTTTTTCTTTCTTTTATATTGTGGACACATATTGCTCATTAGTGCGATATTGTAAAAATATGATATTAACAGATTTCACAAGAAAATGATTATTGGCATTATTCTTATTAGATGAGAAAACACCTTTGTTTTCTGAAGGACCTCAAACACCTGCCTTCATTATTACACTCTTCAGATGTAGTAAATCATGAAAATTTTTGTCATGAATGCACGATCCAAAAATAATCCAAAAATTAAAGGGAAACATTTTCAAGTTGCATACCAACAGATGTATGAGTTCACAGCAGAGATTGTAAAACCAGGCCATTGTTTTATGACGAGTGCATGCAGCCTTGAAATGGGAGGACATTGTAGTATGCAGAGCTCATTTTTTTACTCCCCTTTTCAGTTGTAAATGTTGCAGATCCAGGTTTTGACTTCCTGTTGGAGGCAGACTACTAGGTGCATTTGTGCCAATTGGAAAATCAGGTGCATGCATCGATAAAATTTTTGTAATTGAAGGAAATATTTGCACTATCAGCAGTTCCTTCTATATTTTGGATTAAAAAGAATACAAGCTATTTCTATTACATTCTAAGTTATCTGTTACATTCTAAGTTATTTCTATTACATTCTAAGTTATTTCTATTAAATGCTAAGTTATTTCTATTAGTACATTCTAAGTTATTTCTATTAGTACATTCTTAGTTATTTCTATTAGTACATTTTAAGTTATTTCTATTACATTCTAAGTTATCTGTTACATTCTAAGTTATTTCTATTACATTCTAAGTTATTTCTATTAGTACATTCTAAGTCATTTCTATTAGTACATTCTAAGTCATTTCTATTACTTTCTAAAGTTAATGATCCACATGAACCATTCATCTTGTGTTTTAGCTTAGACTCAATGGATGACTTAAAATTTACTTCACTTTGTTGCTTTGAGTCAAGGACAATGATATTGAATGTGTATATATGTATATATTGCATTGTACATGTAGTTAGAAAAACACTGCCTTCTTATCAATGAGTTAATGGTTGCTTCATTACTTTGCTCCATTTCTTGATTGTCAGTACTGCAAGTTTGGGCTTATTGATCAATTCTATGGTACAGTTTCTGTTACTTGTTGAATGTCACAAAATTTCTTTCCTATCTTTTATCAGGGTGTAAAATTGTTATCAAAGAAAGGAATTGCTATTGTTGCATTTAAAAAAGAGTTATTGACCATCAAAATTACTGGAAGTAATGCTAGTGAATCATTTTCAGTTAGAAGCCATATGGGTGTCAGTAATTGAATGTTTTTTTGCTGGTGTGGTAATTGCAGCACAGATCACAAATCTTGATAAGCAAAAAAGAACCCATTGTGTGCCTGTGAAACAAATTCCTTGTCTTTGTGCATGGCTCTTTAATCACTGGGGTGTTATCTGATATTTTGTCGAATCACGATTCGGAATTATAAATTGACCTAAGAGGGGTGTAAAGTCTTTCTACCTGGTTTGTTTGTTTTCCTAGGAACAAACACCTGAGATAGATTTTAAAATTCTTTGCCGAAAAAATTCAATACACACAAGAGCATAGACATTAAAAACGTTACCACCCCCCAGGGGCGACTAGAGGAGAGACCTGTGCTGACCTTGTTTTTGATGAGTCACTCAATGCGGATAGGCTGAGGGCTCTTTACTATCAACCTGTACAACTTCTTGTAGTACACAATTTTATCGGGGGACACCTCAGGCACTCTTGGCATGGGACTTCTGTGTGGGGTCTCTTCCAGTCTGTGGCAGCTTTCTTAGAATGGTCTATACAGCAGGTAGGGCATATTTCTTAATTTCTTCACAGCATAAAAAATGTATAAGTTTAACCTTCTCTCTCTTTCTCTTCTTATTACTGAAATAGTAAACCTTGGCTGAGGGGGGCTTTGTAAATGTGGAGCCATGTTGCAATCTGTAAAATTTCCTGAACTGTTTTTTTAGTCTTGCAATTGACCCTTGGCTTTCAGCACAGAGATATTGCTTGTGGCTGTGGTGTATTAGTTGTTGAATCAAAGTAAAATTATGTGTATGTCTGCAGGGTAAAACAGGCTATCTTGCTTATTCAGCTATATCATTGTGTAATGAGCACTCATAAAGTTTTCATTCACAAATACACATTTCCATGGGTCGCTGTAAGGTCCATCCTTTATGTTGTGTGTATGACAACAAATTAATGGCATTTAGTTCTCTCCTTGCTGTACTTGACACTAACCTGACATAAACACTTGGAACCACCACTCTAACTGATAAACATCTGCCAGACTGTTTGTGTATTGAATTTTCAGACATCACAGTTCTTTTCAAGTACTTAGTATATTATATTTAATACATGCATTTATTGTCATCAAAAATAGATACATAAAGAAAAAGGAAGAAATATGTAAATATACAGATACCAATTCAAAAAGTATCGGGTCTATAGAAACTAGGAGCAATTAAATCTGAATCATGAACTGACATAATTATAAAATAACACTAAATCAGGGGTGTAGAGAAGTCTTGCATTAAAGTTTAAGTAGCTTAGGCATTTCTGCTGCTTTTTTAATCAGTATGAAGTGCATGACTGAGGATTTTAAGGGTCAGTGTTTATGTCCTAGAGTGCAAAGTGATTGCTGTGTTTATTCTACTCTATATATTTTTTTAAATTAATTTAACCAACATTTTGCATTTTGTTTCATCTGTACACATTAAAGCATCAGTGGTCATAAAAAAAATGAAAAGTACTAATAAATATAAAATCAATAAATAATGAGTAACATATTGTGTAAGAAGGCTAACCTTGGAGTCTTAAATAAGGATATAGCTAGTCAAGCTAATTGACATGTTAGATTAGGGACATACAAGTTTGTAAATCAGAATCGATATTTCTCATAATACACCTGGGCACAGATTGCAGTGACAGGCATGTGACTTGATTAGCTGGATGTTTGAGAGGCTTTGATTCATAATTATAGTCTGAATGAAAGCTTGGTCATCAGTAGCTTTTGTTTGTGCATAACTGCCACATATGGAAAGGAACTAATTAATATTGTTCGAATCGCTGAAGAAGTGTACATTTTTATATACACAGATTTGGGTGACAAGCGTGATGGATGGGTCGCCCCAACAGAGTACGCAGTGAACTTCGTCAATGAATATACTTAGAGCTGAAACGAGACGAAAAAACGCTTCAGTGCACATGCTTGGCAAAGTACACCGAGGAATTTCATAGTTTGCCCAAATACTATCAGCAGATAAAAAAGGTTAAATCTCCTGCTACCGAAAGAATTCTGTCGTTCGTAGGGCTCTTTTTTTCTTGCATTCACAAAGGATTAGAGGCACAAATATAGCACAGACTGGTTTTTCCTTTAACATGCAAATCATGAACAATGGATAAAACATTTTTGGTTGTGTTAGTGTAAATTTATGAATAGACTACGTATCCTCCTTGCTATGAAGGAAAGATAGTTGGTAAGTGGCTTATATATAGTTCATTGTTGTGTATTGTGCATTGTACTTAAATATTGACTTTTAAAGATAATATTTTTCTATACGTGGAGTTTGAAGCGTAGTGTGTCCTGCACCCATTTCTAAAATTTTTTGTTTGTATTCTATTCTACAGTTTTATTTTCTTAGAGGCATTCGACTGGCTTTTGTCGGTATGTTTTTGTTGGGTTAAGTTTGTTTTCTGGAATTTTAATTAAGGTGAAACTGTGGTCGATAAAACATCTTGTTGATCATGCCCTCTTGATGGGATATGATGATATCAGCAAAATCTATATCTCTTTTTTGGTTAAATTAACTGAATTGGTTGGATCAATGGTAAAGAATACATGACCTACATAGCAAACAGGTAACTTTGTAAGACTCCAATCAATTCTTTATGCTACCCAACTTTTTAAAATTATTATGTCTGATCATTCAACACTAATGATTCTTTGTTAAACAACACCTAGCTACATGAAACTGAAGTCGTATAAAGAGAATTTTTTAGTTTTTCCTTTAGGCCGCCAGGTGTATGTCAAGGTAGGTTGAAACAGACACTATTTATTCTCTACAGGATAAGGTTGCACGTACCTATGAGAACCTGCACACAGATTATGAGAATATTGATATTCGATGCTTTGTAAATCAGAGATGCTGTATTATCATGAGTTGAGATTAACCTCAAAGTGTCAAGCTTTGTATTATTTGACAACTCTAGAAAAAAGGTGTGGGTATGTTAGAAGGCTGTCTTGTGACTAACTGAAACCACTAGGCCAATTCAACCAAACTTGCCACAAAGCATTCTTTGGTGAAGGGGATTCATGTTTGATAAGAGGAGGGTCATGCCCTATTTCAAAGGGAGATAATTAGAATTAGTGAAAATTTAATGGCATCTTTTAAAAATCTTCTTCTCAAGAATCACTGGGTAGAAAAGATGAAACTTATATGAAAGTTTCATTACATAGTGTAGATTTCAAATGTTTTTAAAATCATGACCACTGGGGCTAGGGTGGAGTCACAATGGGTGATCAAACTTTTACATAGGAATGTAAAGGAAATATCTTTAAAAATCTTCTTCTCAAGAACAGCAAAGCCATAGTTATAGTTATATTTATATGATAGCACCCTCAGATAGTGCTAAGATTCAAGAAATTGTTCAAATCATTAACCCATGGGAATAGGAATATTTATCGATAAAAATTTCTGCTGATGAAGAACAGCAGGGCAAGAGTGACTCAGGTGAGCATTGTGACCCATGGGCATCTTGTAGTGAGTGGAACTCTATCTCCAGATGTAGTACCATGTATATATTGTACATGTCAGATGCTGTATTTGAACAGCACCTTTGAACTAACTGAACTTGTGTTTTCACTAAATCTATTCCTTTATTATTACTTTACAGCAATAGATTATATAAATTCTGTGTAAATTTGGGCTTCAAACAAAGTTGAAAAATCAAAGTCAAATCTGGGAGGTCTTAAAGTTGAAAAATGTTCAAATGCACTGCCTTTAAAACAATTCATGGAATTGCGAAGTATGGAATACTGTCTTTACTCAAAAACTTCAAGCCATAAAAATGACTTATTCTTTATAGCATGTAAAAAAAAGTTTATTTATAGTGCATTTTTAATGACGGTCACATTCTTGACTGAATAACATTATTATAAGTGTGAAAAATTTTGATCAAAAAGAAGCAAATGCAGTAATCTCATTAGAACTTGCACAGTATCATATACCATGTATACTGATATAGTTGGCAATTAGTAATTATCATGTTTTTCTGGTCTTGACAATTATTGATCAGACTGGAAAATCCTGGTCTCTTTTAATGATGAGGGTATTGCATAAATGTATGTAGCTGTCATTTCTATATACCTTGGCCTCACAGGTGAACAGAAGTATATTGGTTTGTATTTTTAGTCTGCATGATTCTCTGGCAATACATACTTTCTGCCAAGAAGGTGTTTCCTGACACTGTGTTCCTCATAAGTCTGTGTGAATTAATGCGTGTGCAATTAGTCTGCTTTTATAATTATTTGCCAACAAATTATGAAGGTGGAATTTCTGATGATTATTTTATTGCTTGTAGTGCATTTGTGTTAACACTCGTCTGACAAACAGATAGAGAACTGAAGGAATTCTTGAACAGGTTTTTCTTCCACGGACTTGACAACATTTTTGGCAATATGAAGTCAGAAATAGCAATTAAATGACTTTACTGCTCATTAAGTGCTGTTTTTTCCATTGGAAATTTTTCAGATTGGAGAAGGATTAGGAGACTGGAAATGAGGTGTTAAGGTTTTATTATTTTATGCCATCACATTTAAGAAAGAAAGTGATAATTAATTGCATTCACATTGTGTATCTGTATTTGTAAGACCCAAGGTGTTTTTTAAATACCTCTGTTTTATAATGTTTATACTATAATTTCGTTTAGTTGAGTTCAATAACTGGCTCCATAAATTAACACATTTAGGAAAAACAGAAAGGAACTGGTCAGATTGTGTTATAAACTTCAGTACGTAAGTACTGTTTTGAACTTTCTTTTTTAGCCTACATCATTGTATGAGATAGTTTGATCAGTGTGTTCAGTCTACTTCTGGTTTCCAAATCCTTGCTGTAAAGGTGCAGTTTGCAATATAGAATTTAATCATCTCTGCATGTATATCAACTACATTAATCTCTTTGCCTTCATTTTTATAGATGTAGACTTGTATTTTACTGTTTTGTTCCTAATACTGCTGATTTCTCAGTTTGTGGGATGAAGGTTTGGTTAAAGAAATCTTCCAAATTAGCTGGTGAACGTTTTAGGTACCATGGTAATTGGTTGAAGGTTACTGACAGTTAAAAAAAAAGTCTTGGTATTCAAAAAAGAAAGAAAAAACAAGGACTGAATTAAGAAACTTAATTTAAAGGGTGCAGTTCAGCTTTTTTCTTGTGAACAGTATGCATTTGAATGGACAGTTTTGTTATCAAAATTTGCACAAATAGTTCTATAAAATAATGTGTGTCGTTGGGTATGATTGTGGAATATTAAGCAATGAAAAAAGCCCAAGAGAGAACAAATTCACTGTTACTTTCGATACTAATTATGGCTACTGGCTATCAATAAGTTAGAATATTGGCCATGAAAGTTGATATGAATTACATTTTGGTGCATGAAAAATGGTAATTTAGATGAGAAAAATCATAGCTGTGTGGGCGTCAACACAAAAAAATTCAAACCTGCTTAACTAGAATATATTGGGTCATGTGATTGGAAATGCACTTGGTGTGCCCTCCATATTATTTCCCAAACATCTGAAGACTATTAAATTGTTTTGTCTGGAACTGTAAAAACATGAAAAGAAATGGTAGTGTTCACACATTGAAGAGTAATTGTACAATTTGATGGAAATTAACCAGCACATTAGGACCATGGATTAGGTCAGTTTGCTGTGTGTTTATGACCCTGGTCTAATCAATGATGGATGCTGTTTAGTTATGGTCAGTCTAATATTGATTTGCTCTCTCTGGTCATTGATGTGCATGAAAGAGTCCATGCAGTCAGCCAACCTTAATACACACTAATCAATAAGGGTCCTTTTTTTAAATCCCAAAGTGATTCAAACAATGTCCAAAACTGCCCTAGTATTTTCCAGCTTGGCAGTTTGTCAGTTGTGATCTCTTTGTTGTATTTCATTCATTCAATTCCTGATGAATGGACTGATTATGAAGACATTTAAATTCCTTAAGGATTTATGCCTACATGTATAAATATAGTTAATATATACATATGTACACATATGTACTGCTGTTGAGTGAGATTTAATATCCTAGTCACTGCCTTTAATACGTGGGAAGAATGTCCTGTTATTAAATATAGTACTAGATTTACTACTATCACTGTATGTAGATGTGCAGTAAATATCTGATAACCACCACAAACAGTGGTTGGTATGACTATGATGTGTTTATTTATATATACATGCTTATATTTACTCTTCTTTTCCTGTCAACATGCGAGGAAGTACGATCCAAGTCCATTTATATTTATAAACTTCAAGTTATGACTTATCAATGCTATAAATATAATTCCTCTTCTGGTCTGAAATAACATCACTATAATTAGTATTCAAAAGTGCATATGATGATTATGTAAATCAATATACTGTGGTACAAATTACACAACTGCCTGAGATTTTTTGTGTTAAGCTAAATAGGAATCAATCCATCTGGTGACGTACATAAGAGAGCTTTTATCTGTAAATGGGTTCTGATTTTTTAAAAATCAAGGTCTATGTTCACTTGGAAATGAGGAAAATTCGATAGATTACAGGGAGAGATAGTTCAAAACTTTTATTCATTTTATTTCAGAAACGGAAGATGTGAATGCAGCGTCCATTAATTCAATTTCTGATGTACGACATGGCTTCGCTCCATCCACGAAATCTGTGCATCACAAGACCCTTTGTCAGCTGCTGACACAAAGGATAGAGACGCACCGAGGCAATGAGCAACAAGTGAGCAAAGGGGAGAGAATCAAAGCCAGGATAGAGGAAAACAACAATGAGGCTCTGGACCTGAAAAATGACAGTAGTGAACGAATGAATAAAAACAACAATGGGTTCAGTAGAATGACTGGAAGTGCTCCTCATAATAGCAGTGAAAATATCAGTTGGCTTCATGATGGCTCTACCAATCAGTCTTCACCTCCGAGGCCTTCCGAAGGTATGATAAGTAATGCCAGCAACATAGGAAGTGAATCCCTCTCTACAACCATGTTAGCTTCAGCAGCCTCACCAGGTAGTATGTCTGGGGTTTTCCGACCCCCAATGAATGAAGCTGCCTCTAGACTTCTTACCCACGGAAATAGTCAGTACCCTGGTTTGTATTCACCAGGGGGTAGTGCTAGCAGCTCAGTATCTCCTTACTCGCTGCAAGGACATAGTCCATCTTCAGTGCAAGGACCACACTTACAATCGTTAGCACATTATAATACATTTTATCAGAGTCCATATAATTTACAGAGGTCTGGTATTCTATCAGGACCTTATCCCCAAATTGAGTCCTACTCAGCTGTGTTACAGAGTATGGGCACTGTTGTGCAACAGACTTCCCACACCCAAATTCCACGCAATACATATGGTCCAGTGACACAGTATTCAGGGCTCAGTAGCTCTCACCCACGCTCAATGTCAGCCTCAATGTCTCCGAGCCCTGATGCTCACCATGGAGCCAGCCAGGCTGAGATCGTTCATGGGGACATGAAAAGAGAAAAACTACCAGAGGAACATGAAATGATATCTCGTCTGAAGGATGAGCGTGCTCAAAGTCTTTCATCACTTGAATTTTCTGGAGGTAAATCTGTATCATTTAAGGACCCACCTCGTCGGGATTCTCACCGCGAGGTAAGCTACAAAGTGCCTAGTGGGAAGGAGGGTAGTTTAAAACACCGTATTCTGACTCGCCCCTCAGACAGTGCAATACAGAGTTCTCACTTAGACTCAAGGTTCTCCACTTACACAGGGGATGAACCTGCCCTCAAACGATCAAAAAATAATCATGGTGGGGTGTCTACCAAACATTCCATGGATGAGGGGCCCAGTGTGCACACCATGATGCCTCTGCAGACCTCCATGCGACAGAGCCCAGCCATGACCCAGGGCTCAAGCGCACAATTACATTACCCTCCCCATTTCATGAAAGGATCAATTATACAGCTTAGTAATGGTGAATTAAAACGAGTGGAGGACTTGCAAACAGATGATTTTGTACAGAGTGCAGAAATAAGCAGTGATCTCAAAATAGATTCCAGTACTGTGGTGAAAATTGAATTCAATCCAGACCACAGTACGGCCATTCTTGGCTTTGTGGTCGGAGAACACAAAGTACAGGTGAGTAGCAATAAATTTGATTTCTTGTTGATTTTGTCAGTATGCTGAAAAAAATAAAAATTTCATTCGTGGTGTAATGTGTCATTGGGTGTAAAGAGATTATTACCTGTTGCACTAACTTCTTTGACAGTATACAGCAGGCCTTTCAAAATCTGCTGGTATCTGGTACTTTTACCCAGCTGAAATCATGATTGTACTGGCTAATGTATTCATTGGTGAAAAATTCAATAAGATATTTAATTAAAATCTGTCCACAAGGTACCTCCTATTTTTGTAAAAGTACCACCTGTTGCTAATCTTTTTGAAAGCCCTCTTAATGTCTAAAGAGTAATTAAAAAAAAGTAATAAAAGTTGTTCAGATCTATGCATTGCAGTTATGTAGTTGGTTGTAAATGTCTGCATTACAACTCAAACTTAACAATCACATAGTTTTGCCATTATCAGGGAAATAATTAGCATTGCTAAGAATAAATATGTCTGCATTTCATACTATAGTGCAAGAAGGATAACATTTTTTGACACATTTATAAATTTTGTAAAACCTAATTAATACTCATTTCAGAGATAAAAATAGATTATTTTGAGGGTTGATTTTAAGAAAATGATACAGTATTTAAACATTTTTATCCTGCACTTATGCATCATTTTGAAAAGTTTGCAAGAAAATCTTGTAATATTTTCAATGACTCTATTACCAATGGGATTTCTGTCTCTTCATCTTTTTCTCTATTTTTTGTGAAAAAGCTACACAATTCTATTCTCTTTATTATGTTCTCTTGATGACTGTTTAAGATTTCAAAAAAATAAAAAGCTGAATGCTATTTTTTTTAGCATGCAAAATTTCATAAAGCTTGAGATTTAAATTCAAACAAGCATATATTCAATCCATAAAAGTTAAAATTAGCTAAATTTTTTTAATAGGATTTTTTTCTTGTTTCAAATTTTCTGGGACAAGGGCAATGAGCTGAAAAATTTATAAATGTCACTTTGAACATTCATAGTAATAAATGACTACAGTAAATTGTAAACAGTCAATAAATTTTCTGAATAATTAAAATGTCTCTCCTACACTTTTCAGTATTTTTGATGTTTCTAGAAGTGAAAATCAATTGGGAGGCCTTGCATAGATACACGTAGTTATAATTGTAGTAAGACATTTAAGACACACAGACCCCCCCCCCCCCCATTTGTAAGAATTGGTTTTAAGTATGGATAGTATATTATGAGCAGGAAATCCATATATATTTTTGAGGGTGTAAACTGATTACTTTCTGCTGATTTGCCGCCTTACACATGACAGTGCAGACAGCTAGTGACAATCAATGCTCCCAGTTTGTCCTGTATTGATCAAAAATCGTCAACTTGTTGACAGTGTGGCGCTGCACTCCCACGCCACCATTAATAATTCCATCATGGTTTTGTCACATAACGAAGCATAGAGTGAGGGGGCAGGAGATTAGTTTGCTCATCAATATTGGAAGAGATGCTGCTCGTGAAAGGTTTTAGATTTAAAAAATGACATTAAAATGACTGGTAAAACTGCACTGTAAATTCTCAAATTTCTTTTTATATTTCATATGTAATATGAATTCCTAGCAGATGGAAGTGAATGGTGATTTAAAGCACGTATTTTTTCATTGAGTAAATTTCATCAAATGACAGGTTTTAAATTAGGATTAAGAGCAGCCTGGCACTTTCTTGTGGGGCCATAGGAAAGGGAGGATGCCTCCTCCAATAATTTTTGCCTTAATTGTACAATAGAAATTATAGCAATTTTACAGTGGAACCCCCTCAATTATGGAGTCTGATGACAACAGTCATATCAACATTTGCAACAATGATAATTCTATAAATACAAACACAATGTTAAAAATTATTTAGCATATATAATCTATAAAAGGGGCTTGGACACAGATTTGAAGTTAATTATATCAAAATTCTAAAATTTTCAGTATAATATCATGACTTATATGTTGCTAGAGCATTTCACACTGAAATATATTAAAAGCATGTTTAGAAACTTCTTTCATATGGAAATTATTAAAACTACAAATTTTGGGACATGTTTGATTGACACGTATCCTTGCACTTCACGAACTAAACTTTATCCTTAATACTTAAGAAAAGTAGAAATTAGGTTGTGTATTAATGCAAAATATTAAAACTATAATCCAGAAAATTCAGAGTAGAAATGTGAGAAAGAAAAACCAACTCACCAGTATCAGTTCTTGCTCAGTGATGTGTGCACAGTGAACAAATTGAACATACCCAGTTAAACGTAAACAATAACAGAGCTCTTGCCCTGTTTACAAACACAGATGTTTGATGTGATGTTATGAAGAATGTCGTTGTCATTGAATTCTAAGAATATTCATGTATATAAGTTCAATTCATTTAATAACTGAATTTATTTATTGAATAAAAATAGAAATTTAAAATTGTGAACAATGCAACTGTGTCCAGGCCCCTTTAAGGTTTAAAATTAAACTCTGGCATTATACTAGATTCAGAATATTGTGATATTCTGTAGGATAATTTTTGATTTTGATGAATGTATGTTTTTTATGTTGGATTGTTGTTTGACCTTTCTGACAAGGGCACGACCTCAGGATGTCTTGCCTTGTCACTTTCACCACCTCAGATCTCAGTCTTTCTTTATAATTACTGACATTATATTGCACATCACACCTCTGTAATAAACATCCCATATTTCTGATATTGTCATTTATTGGACTTTATAGATTTGGGGGAGGGGGGAGTTATTGTTCATGGTAGCCTTACTGTTTATGTCCCCAACTTTATAACTTTATAATCATACCTATTCAATATTATAGACTTAAATGTCTTTTACTAAGGTAAAGGCTAGGTCAAGGCCATATTTTATGATCAAATAGAACTATTGTTATCAGCTGGGACATCATTTCACAATCATATCTTTATTAATTACTTCTGAAATTATCAGTCAATCATATTTTGATTTTAACTTGGTTAAAATGGTTGATTGTTCTGTCAGCCACCATAAGAGGTACAAAAAACTGTATAATGTAATACATGTACCAGATTCCAAATACAGTTGAACTTCGGTATCTCGAACACTGATATCTCGAATACCATGGATATGTCGAAGCATTTTTAAATTAAGTCTCGGCCCCTTCTTCTTTAAGTTTTTTACCCTGGATATCTCGAATCCTCAAATATCTCGAAATTTTTCCTCGGTCCCATTGAGTTCGAGATAATGAGGTTTGACTGTATGTTTTTTATGAAGATAACTTCTCTGATGTACTGAATTAATTTTTTTTTCTTTTTGTATATATAAATGACCTGTCTAAGGTACATATTGATTAAAATTTCAGGTGACTGTGGAAGCTACATTAGAGCATCCTTTCTTTGTCTTTGGACAAGGTTGGTCATCTTGTGAGCCGGAGCGAAGTCTTCATAGGTACGGACTGGACTGCCAGAAGCTCACTGTGGGAGATGTATGCATCTCCTTAACACACAAAGACGTACAGGAGCGGGCAGCAGAGATCTCCCAGCAACAGCAGCTGGAGCTGAAAGAATCACCCCACAGGTCATCCCTCAGAAATTCCACCTCCTCACTGAGCCCTGCCCACAAGAGAAACTCCCCCAGTGACCTGGAGAACCGCTCCAGGAAACATCATCTTTCCACCATGTCAAGTCACCACGTAGATCCCCCAAAGGACACTGTTGAAGTTAAACAGGAGACTGCCCGCTATAGTGTTACCTGATATTCCACACCCCTTCTACTCAAACAAATTATATATCTTTGTTATTATTATTTCTTTATTTTGTTGTTACACAGCAAAATTATTATCTATACCCATCATTGTTTTTTTTTTTATAACAGCAATCTGATGAGACCTTGATATTGTCATCTGAATTTTTGTGTCAAGAAAAAGACATGCCTGGAACACAAGAAAAGGTACAAATTAGTGTATGCCAACATTTGACTTAGTTTATATCGTACATTTACATTGTGTTCCTGCTAACCTTTTTTATTGGTTAAATATGTTCCTTTGGATTCGTTTTAAAAGGTTGCACTCTGTGGAGAGACATTGACTCGATCAGGTTGCTGTTTTAGTGCAATTGTTTTACAGTCCCAGCACTATAATATGGTTTTTTTTTTTCTTCAAAAGTGCTAAATAGAAGATTTTAAATGCTTGATAGTCTAGATAGATTCCCAGGTGTTATGTATATTACTGAAGGTATATAATCAACTCATTCTGAGGCTCATTTACAGGCCGTGAAACAATAGGAACATTGCAGTTTATAGTATTTTCCTCTATTTTTTGAGAAAACCCAAAATATTACAGAGATCTGCTGGAAGCTATTAATTTTTTGTATGAAAAGATTGAGCCTATTGAACATAAATCTTGTGTTTATTGAACAAATAATCCTCATAGAAATTCTTAAAATTGACATTTTTTAAAGAACTATATATTTTTGCCCCCATGGCAGTGAGTTGACAGATTTTTATCATGTCATCAGTATTTTTAGAGTGCTTTCTTATATAATACATGATTCATTGAATTTTTTTAATTAATTGACATTTACTGTACAAATCCTAAATGGATTATGTTACAAATTGTCTTTTCTTGTTATTTCATGTTGTTTCATGGAAAATTGTGATAATTTTAGATTATTTTTATTATAGATAACGCACAATACAAGTGTATCTCAAATTTTATGGAAAGCAATTAATGTTGTAAATGTATATTGGATATAATTTTACTTGAAAGAAGAAAATTTTAATTTTTTTTTAAATGGATTTAAACTAAATACTTCATATGTGAATTATTGTTCGATCAAATGATGAGTTTCTGTTATAAAAATGCCACGTACTGTATTGATAACATATCTGTCTTTTATACCTTTTTATCTTGAATGCACTTTTTGTCAAAATTACTAAGAGACGCACAGAGTACAGTCAATGTTAAAATATTATACATAGCAAACTTTTTTATTCATTAGGTGATACCATAAAGTGGAAAATGTCAGAGAAAAATGATACCAATCTTGCTTAAAAAAAAAGAATTCTCAAGACAATATAGTTGCTGTTTTGCAATGCCTATATCCATGTTTTAAGGGATTACGCATCACAGTCATGCAATATTGAAGGAAATGTGGTCTGTAAACTAAAACCATCTTTTCTCATCTTGTTCATAACAAACGAGTCATGTAGAAATCTTATATGGCTAATGTCAAGCAGCTAGCACATTTGATGAGCAATTATCAAACTCTGGTGAGACAGGAATCGGGAATTTGTGCTATGAGTATAGCATTTGTATGTTGTTATACATTGTTATTGTTACACGCAGTAAATTGGAGCAACACAGATGCAAAGGGCAACAACTGCTACTAATCATTAGGGATGACGAAACAAGTTTGTCAAAATTCAGATCCACAATGTTTTTAAGATTTAACTCCTCCCCACTGAATTTGTGACAACTTGGGATATATTCTAGCTTTCAGTAATAGTACAGTAATTCTTATACAATTTGGTCGTCTAAATAAAAAAGAAGCAGGGAGAATTTAGGTTTGACTTTTCATTCTTTTCATGAAGTTCATTAGAGACGACCCCTTTTCCTAATTTTCTTTGCATTTCCATTTACAATGTAGTTTATATCAAGATCTTTACATAGGTTAGTTTATAAATGGATTGTTTCCATGAAATGCATGTACATGTACACAACTTATATAGTCTACTCAATTCCTTTTAGATCTCAAATTACTGGCAATATCATCCGAGGCAATTTCTGAGCAATTGATTTAAGTTAGCTTTTCACTGAAATTTTTGATACATTGCACACAGTACGCAGATTACAGTGCCTTACTTAACTGATAAGGGACAAAGGAGAAGCAATTTAAAAATACACAGGGAAAAAATACCAATGTTTGGAATATTTGTACCAACAGTTGAAAATAATTTTTTTTATGATTTACAATACATTTCGATTACAGAACCACTGGGCAGTGTCGGATTATTTAAAAAAATCCTGGGAAATTTCATACTGAGAAACAAACCTAGGTCCACACTGTGTCAATATATTTGTTTAAAAAATAAGTTTTAGTTGAAAACTGCATTACTTTTTTAACAATCAGTAGTTTTCAACCTTCCTATGACATACCATCTATGAAAATTTTGCAATAATTTTTGGCATTCTCAAGAATGTTGCTGACTTTAAATAGGAAATTAAAAAGGATAAAGAATTTGCTTGTATATTGTTTTATGCCTTAAACCTTAGTTTGGCATCACAGACATACAAATTATTTAAACTTTAGATTAAAATCTCAGAATATTAACTATTATTTTTCCTATTTAAACTTTGAAGATTAAGTCAGTAGAACACATTTATATGCTTAAAACTCTTCATAATCTTTGAAAATGATACCTCTTGTCATAAAAAGCAAAATTTTTACTGCTTGTCAGCATTTCACAGTCTCACATGGAAGAGAGAATAAAGCTTGTAAAATTTTCTTTGAAAAAAAAATTGTTAACATTTTACAATGCATTTCAACATTTAAATTGCATGTACTGCATTTCATTTCCCAGAATACCCATTTGAACAATGCCATTGCATCTAACAACTTCATGTTCATCCTTTGTGCGACGGGAAATACGATTTAGCTCAGGGATTCAGAAGACTGAAGGTTCACACTTAAGTGTCCCATTTTGTGATAGTGAAAGGTCAGGGGCCGGCAGCTAAAAAGATCTGGAGGAATTATTACATCACAACATCGCACAATCTGCATATACCCAGTGCCTTTCATGTTGTCCAAGTTAACACATTTTTTTGTTCATTTTCAGACATTTTTGCACATTTCACACCAGGAAAAAAAATAACAAGAGAATTAAATATATTGTTTTGTTGAAAATGATCTGTTTGGGGGCCTATAGAATAATTATCGTAGGGGGAAATGTATCTCAAATTTTCCTTGCATTGTTTTCAGTGTTGCCTATTGATGCAATTTGGGCAACATTATGTTGTTTATTAAACCCAGTGAACTGTGAAGTACTTTGTAATGAAGCAAACTGGTGACTGTTAATACTGCCACAAACAGGTATTAGAGTTTTTCACAAATCTTTTTTATCATCCAATCATAACTTCCAGCGGTCCATGATGCACTGTCTTAAGTTCAAGTTGACAAGCTCCATTTGCAGAGAGGATCAAAATTGCTTACAAAAAATGTGTGGAATAACGGTATACTTTCAAGTTCATTCTAGAATAGATGAGTGGCCATTAAAAAGATGTAAAGAAACATTGTAAATCTGGTCTCTGTGCCAAAGATCCTTAGTTTTCATAAGGATTATATCTTGTACGGTCCTATTAATCATGACCAGAGTAGATAAGGTAATTTCTCTGGTCAACTTTTTCACCGTTTTAAAACAGCTGAGTTTTCTCTTAAGAATGGAACACATCTATACATCCACTGAGAAAATAGCTCGGACCATACCATAAATACTGATGATTTTACAGTGTTTCTAATCTCTCAAGACAGAATCCCATGAACCATTGTGTCTTCATAGTTTCTCAGTTGACATACTAGCAGTATTTGTATATCAAGTGCTTGAAAAACCTTTCTACATCTTCACTTATATGTGCACATATCCCTTTTCTGTAAAATGAAAAAGTTTAGTTATGAGCAAGATAATAATTTAAGGTTGGTGCATGTAGTACAGACTAGCAATGAATGACTTACATGTACACATGTTTAATCTTGCTTGTTGTTAATTTTTTTGTCTGAATATTTTCTGCATTCTACTTTATCCTGTGCTGAGAAAATTATCTGTTACAATGATGTTATATATGATGTTATTTTGTTAGTTGTGCTTAACTTAGATGTGAACTAGTTTTGTATAAATTGACACAAAAAATGTTAAAAAATTTAATAAATATACAGTTTAAAAAAGTGCTCCTGTTCAATAAAGTCTGTTGAAACAAAATAAGTAAAAGCCTTTCTAAAAATAAAGTTTTTATCAAATTGCCCCCTTTTTTGCTTTTGTTCTGAATTAAGACATTTTATGTCACCGAAGTATGTATGTACACTTGTTTACCAAATGACTTGAATTTTCTATGATCGCCGATATTTTGGGTTCAATCAATATTTTAGAATATGCCAGTCCACCATCATCAGTATGAATAAAAGAAGAATATGTTTGAAGAATTAAAATACAGAAATGTCAAGCCCCAGAAATGACCCCATGGTTCAGTTTTAAAAATGCCAAAACTTTTGTTTGACATTTTTGAAACATCTCTGTGTGAAAAGAGATGCTCGGTCAGAGGTCTAAATGTTTTAGAAACATGTGGCAATATTTAAAAGGATTAACTTTAAATTGAGAATGTCTGCAATGATAGTGAAAAAATGGGTTATCTGCTAGTCAGAGACTAGAATACATTTGTACTACTAAGTTTGATCTCTAACAGACCGAGATCTCAAGAGAAATTTACTACTTAGAGGGTACCAATGTAACAAGCTTGATGCCTGTCAAGCATATAGTTCTCAAGATATCTTCCTATGTCCAGTGTTGTTTAACCCTTAACCTTTGAACTTGTGTGACCTCGAAATTAATAAGGGCAATCTACTCCTTAGGGGGTACCAGTATGTTAAGTTTGATATCCGTCTAGTAAAGGGTTCTCAAGATTCTGATCAAATAATATCTTCCTATGTTGAGAGAAGTTTGACCTTGTCACCTCAAATTTGATATAGGTCATCTATTTCCAGAAGAAAACTAGTATACCAAGTTTCATGTCATCTATATCTTTCTATGTCCTGTAACCTCAAAATCAATAGGGGTCATCTAACAGTACTCCTTAAAGCTGAACACGATTCATAAAAGGCAGAGATCTATGTTAGTCAGGCATATTACTTTGCATTTTCCGTCACCTATACAACCCCTACATAAGCTGTTCACTTGGTTACAGTTCAGTGTAATCAGTTTTCAGTGGTGTGAATGGACATATTCTACATAGCTATTGTAAAACTCTCGGTAGTGACTAAAGTACATCATAACTGTGTGCTTCTTCGATGGCAGAAGAGAGAGTTACCATTATAGAAACTTAAGTCAGTGCAGTGAAAACAAACACAAATACACAAACTGCAGTAAAATGTAAACAAAGGTAATGCAAGTTAACCAAAATGAACATGTGTCATCAATTCCATGCAAGTACCCATGACAAACAGTCAGATGTAACGAATGTGAAGGGTATACCCCAGAGCTGATATCGGAGATAGGAAAACTAATATGGCGTATGCCTATTTACGAGTCATGTTCAGCTTTAAGTGGAACAAATTTACAAGTTTGACATCCATCAAGCAAAGGGTTCTGAAGATACTGATCGGAAAACATCTTCCTATATCCAGAGTAGTTTGTCCCTTGACATTTGACTCTGCAACCTTAAAATCAAAAGGTGTCACCTATTCTTAAAGGGGAACCAATGTACTGTGTTTGATGTCTGTCAAACAAAGGGTTCTCAAAACATTGAACAGATATTATGTTCCTTTTGATATTTGATCTTGTGACCTCAAAGTACAATAGGGGTCATCCACTCCTCAGGGGACACCAGTGTACCAAATTTGATGACTGTCAAGCAATGAGTTCTAAGATATTTATCTGAAAACTCTTGGTCTACTGACCGACATACAAGTGCAAACCATTAAACTAAGAAAGTTTCAGTTGATGAAAGATTAATTCAGCCATCAAATTGCAGCACGTTTGCATGAACTTGTTTTGAAGAATTTTCATATGATTGTATGGTAGAACTTCATACTAGAGTTGAACTTTGATATCTCAAACAAAGATCTCGAATATCATGGTTATGTCAAAGTGAGTTGGAACTCCCAACCACTTTTTCTTTATGTATTTTAACCTGGATATCTCAAAGTATATTCTCAGTCCCTCAAGCTCAAGATAACAGGGTTTGACTGTACAGATATCTTAAAATTTTAGGTACAGTATATTTTGTCCAAAAACAAGAAAGTTATTGAGATTTTGTTTCTGTCTATCAGAGTGAAGAAAATGTGCAAATGCTTGCTATCATGTTAATTTAATCATAAGATATCTTAATAATATATATTTATATTATACATTTGCAGACAAAAAAAGTACCAAAGAAGAAATAAGAAAAGAAATTAAAAAAACAATATGTTCCCAAACTTTGTTGCTGAAAGATAATTAAGCATTCATAACAAAATGCAGTGAAGAGTAAATAGTTAAATAAACTGCTCCTGCTCCAAAAGTCCATCATGATGAGTATCGAGTAGATGTTATTAATGATAAGTGTCGCTACTAGCCTGAAAGAAATTGGTATTTAATTCATTTTCAGTCTGATTAATGTCAAAGGGTACTCTTAAGATCGAACTAAAGTTTCATAAAATAATTTTATGTAATCACAACTACAGTCAAACCTCGTTATCTTGAACTCGATGGGACCGAGAAAAAACTTCCGAGATATCCGAGGGTTCGAGATATTGAGGGTAAAATACTTAAAAAAACATGCTTAGGACTTCTCAATCACTTCGACATATCCATGTTATTCCAGTTATCCCTGTTCGAGATAGCAAGGTTCAACTGTATTAGGTTTTATGGCTCTTTATATAAAGAATGTGTCTTTTTCTTGTGTGACCTAAGAGTATGTGATATTTTTTTAAAATATGTGGTTAATGCAAGAATTATCATGTGCTTCCAGGCTGGTATATAATCCTCAATTAGACATGTATTCCTTATACATTTTGACCTATAACCCAACATGCCTCCAACTTAATTCATTTATAGGTATACTAGTACTTCACAGAAACTTAAAACTAATCCCCCCCACTGGTCTCTATCCCTCTGCCTCATTGATGGGTCTAATCCATCCTTGCAACACCAGGGGTCCTGAGCCAACACATTGCTGTGGGACCCCTGGCCAATTTCATTCAATAGATCATGGGCTGACCGTAGCGAAGTCTTTTGGAAAAATTACAGATCTTGATTGTTTTTCTTATCTCTCAACCAATCACATTAAGCCAATCTATGATAAACAATTTGTAACACACGCATTTGAGGTGTCAACTGAATCTTCTCTGTTTATATTATCTAACTATTCATGAAAGCTTTAATTTGATTGGTGCTTCTCAATGAGAGAAGCAAGCTCGAAAATATCGAATGAAATTGGCCAGGGGTCCCATGGCAACCAAGCCCGAAAATATCGAATGAAATTGGCCGGGGTCCCATGCCAACGTGTTGACTCTGGGCCTCTGGCATTGCGTGGGTCTATAATCTAAATGTGAATTATACTTTCTGTTGTACATAATGATAACCAAATAAGGACATAAATTGTTCAGAGGTCACATTTCTGACTAAGTGCATTCACAGTAATAAAAATAAAAGTTGATCTGAAATTTATAACAACTTCCAATGAATAACATGTCATTTATTTCAAATATTTATAAAATTACTCTTCTGAATCACAGAAATTTTTTTTTTAAAAATTTGTGTTATTCTAAACATGATCCTCCGTGTCCAGTAGGAAATCCTCGATTTCTGTCTTCATCTTTATCCTACATATACAATAACAAAGAAATACATATTATTTAAATATTTATATTTCTAAATAATTTTCCTTAAGAATCTTTGCAAATCTGAATACTGTTCATTTTCTCATGAACTACCACGGATGAGCATAAATATCTCCATTGTTACGTCATAATACCGCAATTGACGTCAAAACTATAGTGCAAACTGTTTTGCTTGAAAAATGACAGTTGAATGGCGTATTTTGTGGTAACTCATCAGAAAATAATGTAAATGTAAGAAATGAATTTAATTTTTGAAAATTCATTAGGTACATGAACTAAAACGCTTCACGCCGGCATATTTATCATGAAGCGCTACCGCGCTTGATGAAATATGTCAGCGTCAAGTGTCGTAATTCATGTCCTCATGAATCTTCAAAAATTAAATTCATTTCTTAAGTAAACTACTAATTAAAAACATACTGTTCTTTATACAAATAACCATCTCTATTAATTAAAGTTCATTGATACTCTGACAAGAGAGATAACTCTTAACGACGTAAATGTCTATTATTCCTTCATAGATTTGTCAAGTTGAAATGTCTTTTTTGTTTAATTTAATTGGCCCACAAGCTATGATACAATTGTTTGTATTTTACTTATAAAATACATCATTTCTTTCGGAAAATCATAAATTTATATGAGTGAGCAGAGGTGTATGAACCTTAAGCCCATAGGTAACACCCCCCCACTCCCCAAAAAAGAAAAAAGACAGAAATATCTATCACCCTTATTTCATTTTAGTTTCTTTATTATATTTTTTAGTTACACTGTATTTCATTTCTAAGTTTGTTTGTTTGTTTTTTTTTTATTGCATACCTTCTTTGTCTCTTGCTGATGTCATCAAGGATATGCTTTGGCAACTTATTCACATCATCCTGTGTAAAAAGGATGACGTTTGTTATAACATTTCAAATACTATTAATTCTCATTCGAAAGAATATTAATTGTAGATATATACTTCTTTTAGACTGCTGGGAAAAACCAAAATCAAGATTTAATAATAAAAATGTGAATTTTATCTAATATTAGTAAATGAAGTTCTCAATGCAAACTAGCTTTCAATAAAAATACAATCTCTATGAACCAATAATACTGCATAGTAAAAACTACCAATACTAACCACAGAATATATATCTTGCATTTGTGAATAGAATGTCACCCACTAATGACTAAATTGCCTGTATATCATTTTATTAGCACCATTGCAAACACTAAATGAATAAAACGTGCTAAATACATGTATATTCATGGAATGGTAAAATCTATGGCAATAACGTGTAGGCAAAAGGTTCAAAGTAATGCTGTAAATGTTATCATTAGTGTCATTTCGTCTTTAAATTTAACTTTTTATTTTTATATAGTTACCGTACATGCCTTTGTTGGGAAATCCAGGTAGAAAATGTGTTAATAACAACTAACTCTGTTAATCAATCATAACCAATTAATATCCCCTAAAGCAACTTTATAAGTAATTTTACAAATACATGGATATTTTTCTTTTATTGGGATTTTTAAAGGTGATATAGCAAAAAAAAATACTGTCAATGCCCTATTTGATGAAATTTTAAATAATGAGTCTAACTAACTAGTTCTGTATTGTACATGAATGGATTTAAGGGGGCCGACTGGGGTTTTCATTGCGCAATACTTCGCGCAGCATAGTAAAATAAAGCGTATTTACTCTTTGAAAGCAACTATTTTTACATAATTTATAAAAATTAAAAATTTAGGGATTCTCAGGCTAAAAAAATTTAATTACGTTTTTAAATAACTGATTTCTAAACGATTTTTCAAATGATGGGTAGACAGACGTCGTAATAGTGTGTTTTTGACGTTATGAATAACCGAAGTTCTTTAAGCAGGGTAATTAATTATGCCATAAAATAAAAAGTATAAAACATATGCTCTTGAAATTTTAAATATAGGGAATTGAGAATCTAGCAATCATTTTTATAACTTTTTATGTAAATCTGTGGTATATGTCATGTTTTGTTGTTCTCTATAAAAACAGGAAAATATCATGAATTTTGACATTTTGAGATGCCCCCTCTGGAAACCAGACGGTAGAATTTTGTGTTTCTTTCCCAAAATGTACAATATAGTATTATCCATCAAATAATGTAATTTGAGCAAAAAGTCTATAGTAGTATTTGTATAATTTTCTCCTAAGTGCGAAAAAATGGTATTTTCCTATATAATCCTATAGTAAATGTACCTGTATTTTGAGATGTTCCCTAAAAAATAACCAGATGGTAGATTTTCACTAAACTTGGCATATATACTGAAGTCAATGTAAGGTACATATAGTATAAAATTAAAGAGTTTATCTATAGTAGTTTTCACACAATAAAACCCCAGTCGGCTCCCTTAAGGGGGAAAAACTCTTTTAAGATGCATACATGTACACACTTCAGGGAGTAAGTTTTTTTAATTCCTATTTTCACTACAGGTGAACCTGAGTTCAGAACTTGCAAATAAGTTTATTGTCCAAATGATAACTGGTATCTATTTGAAAAATTATATGGATAAGATTTAACATTAATATGTTTATAACTGAGTGAGCTAGGTCAAACATTGTGACAAGGGTACATAACTTTTGTTAAATCTCCCATTAAGAATTGATAGTTATATATGTTCTAAAAAAAAAAATTAATTCATGTATACATACAAATGTCAAAAAAATTGTTTCCTTGTAAAAATACAATAAAAAAAAATAATAATTGGCAAATCGTATGATTTCCTGTTCATTTATATCTGAATATCAACTGTTTGAGGCAAAAATGGAAAATTTTCTGTATGTGTACTCATCTCAAGAGGATTAATATTTTACAATGGTTTTTGTGCAAATTCATGAATCTTCAAGCATATAATTTTTTAATAATATTCTATATAATAAATCCTATATAGCAATATTTCAAACAGTCTATTGTTTATGTTGGAGCTAAATTTTGAATATAGTTACACCTCATAATCTTGAACTCAATGTGGCCAAGAAAAATACTTTGAGATATCCAATGATTCAAGATATTGAGGATGAAATGAATAAAAAGAGATTGGAATGTCCAGCTCACATTCGACATATCTAAGGTATTCAAATACAGATGTTCAATATACAGTTGAACTTTGGTATCTCAAACACTGATATCTCAAATACCATGGATATGTCAAAGTGATTTGGAAGTCCCAACCGCTTATTCTTTAAGTATTTTACCCCTGATATCTCAAAATCTCAGATATCTCGATGTTTCTTCTAGGTCCCACTGAGTTCGAGATAATGAGGTTTGACTGTACTTAAGTTCAACAGTATATCAAAATAAATATACATGTACATACAGAAATTTTTACCTGGATTTCTCAGATAAGGCAAAATTGAAAGAAGCCATTTTCTGTTTCATTAATGGTTGTGCCTATGCTTAAAGTAGCTTTTTTTGACAAGGTTGCCAAATGGCAACCTACTTCAAATTTAACTGGCCATTCTAAGTTTAAGGTTGCCTGCAGGTTGCCTTTTTTCATGTAGAATTGCATGACAGAAAAATTCTATAAAAATCTACAGTGTTACATGTAAATAATAAAAGTTGATGACCCTGGTGAACGTTCATTCAGTACATGAATCAAAACACAGGAAAGTCAGCAACATTGGACTAACAGTGGACCATTCATTATAATGAACCTTATTTGGTTGTGAGAGCCATCTTACGACACTTGACCTACATATAGGTGACTGGTAAAATAGTTTATATAATGCTAACTCTCTAGATTTCAGATTCCATTTTGGTGAATTTGTAGACTTATTGGTATATGGTAAACCGTCTTTGCATTTCACCATTCTGAACTGCAGAATGGAGAAAAAACAAACACGGCCAAATTAATTTATTTCTTCAAGTCTACCATCTTGACTATTTTGACTGAAATTTGAACCCAATGTTAAATAAAATGTAATAAAAAAGAAAAATAAATAAAAATTAAAAAAATAAATAAAGTGGCCTGGTCGGATATTTTTATTTCATTATTTATCAATGATGCTTGGACTCACCAATTCTTTTATCAAGAGTCTGCAAGCATAACAGAGGGCTGATATGACATCCTCTCGTGTTAACCTAAAATAAACAAGCCACATTATACCCTGGGTACTTGTTCACCACATTACTGAGGAAGGAAAAACCAGTTCTACATGAAATTTTGATATAGCTTCAACACTACGTAACACATTATCAAACAATATCCTTCCTAAACTAGTCAAAAATAACTGCAAGAAACAATGCATCTAAAAAAAAGAGTTAAAGGTAATAAAATTTTTAGAAGTTGGCTTCATAACAAAACATGTACTTTGTTCTTTTACATATACTGCATGTTTTTTGCCATTGATGGTGACAGGAATAGGTGGCTTAATTTCCAGCAATATTATTTACATGTACTTCCAATAACCACAAGGGCATCATCCATCAGCACACCAAAATATTCTTTATCAGTTTTACTTACGTTGGATCTTTTGATTGACAGCTCCCGTCACCACGCCCACAGCATTCTTTATCACTGTTACAGATAGAGAGTGTGACACTACTACAACGAGACACAGTCTCTGAAAACTGGACAGCACTCAGGGCTGAAGATGGCGGTACATCTGTGTCCAGGGGGGCCTAAAATGTCACGAAAATTGTTATCAGCCTGTTTTTACATATAGTCATGCAGTGCCTATAATTTTCATTTATTTGAAATAAATGGTTTATTGTGTGGTTATTTTTAATGTGGGGCACATAGCTCAGTGGTCATAAGTGTTTGGCTAGTAACCTTAAGGTTGCTGGCTCAAGCCCAGCATTGGGCACATGATGTTGTGTGTAGTGTCTTAGACAAGGCACATTATCTGCATTGCCTCAGTCTACCCAGCTGCAATGGGTACAAGCTTACACTGGGGATTAACCTGCAATGAACTGGTGTCCCATCCAGGGGCTGTCAATAACTCTCATCCACTTGGCATCACAGAAACTGGATATGAGCGACAGCCTTATGGCTTGTTGAAGGATTTCACTTTTAGTTTTAATTTAGTTTGTAATAAAGACAATTCTTTACATATAGTAAGTGCCTGAAATTTTACTTTTTTGAAATTTAATGGTTTACAATTGTTGTGTTTGTATTTATGTGATTAGGACACTATGGTTATGCAAATTTTACTCACACTGGACGTACATTTAAATAGGGATGGCATGCAGAATTGCTAATCAGTTCACTGCAATTTTGTTTCATTCAATTAACAGGTTGGCCACATCAAAATGTATATTTATTTGATTTTTTTCATCTGTCCTTATGTAAAAAATGTGTCTATTTTTGGTTTTTTACAAAGTGATAAGTGATATCGGAGTACATGCTAATTCACAAAGGCAGCAAAGAATTATCACGCCTCCCATGTCAGTTTTCATCCTCACCAAAAAGTAGAAACTTACTGCTTATACAATTGAACTCTGATATCTAGATCACTGATATTTCAGATAACATGGATATACTGAAGTGAATTGGAAGTCCCAACCACTCTTTTTTTTTTTTTTTTTTTTAATATGTACTTTCACTTCAATATCTTGAGCCCCTGAATATCTAGAAATTTTTTTTGGGTCCCATCAAGTACAAGATAAAAAGGTTTGACTATACCCTCAATTTACCTTACAGTAACTAACCCCTCCTGATCAAACTTGAATATACATACAGTTATGCTTCAGTATCTCAAACACTGATATCTCGCATACCATGGATAAGTCAAAGTGAATTGGAAATCCCAACCACTTATTCTTTAAGTATTTTACCCTGGATATCTCGAAGCCTTGAATATCTCGAAGTTTTTTTTTCGGTCCCACAGAGTTCAAGATAACGGGGTTTGACTGTACTTCAAAGAAACTTTTCCAAAGCCTCTGAGAAAGAAACCAGTCACAACGTTTTGGATAAAGATAATCACAAAACATTGGATAATCCTATACTTATCATCAATTAGACCATTAATGATTATATATATGTACTTATGACTTAATTAAGACAATGGGTCACGCACACAATCATGTAAGCACATATTCCCTTCTAATAATTATTACCTGTCACATGTAAATGAGGGCAGACAAGTGTTAACGTTCTTAAGTGATTTAATTATTTTGAACTGCACAAAAGTAAAGGCAATTTTCTTACTACTTTATAGAATTTTAGAAGATGGAATTTTAAAAACTTTACATACAAAATAGTATTTAGAAATGCATATGCTTACAAAAATCTTTTACCAATAATAAACTGTCAGACTGCAAATTTTGAAATCAAAAAAATCAAATTAATTGGTTAACCAGTTTATAGCAATTGCCATCCCTAATTTTTTGTCACATGAAAGACATTATAAATTAGCACCTGACAAACAGCACACTGACTCTCTGTGTCCTTTTTCTTTTCTGTGTGTAACTTTTCACCAGTCCTGAAAATATTTTTTTTTGAAAAAGACATAAAGTAAAAGGTCATATACATTCAAAAGAAATAGAAAAGAAATCAAAAATGTAAAAAGTTTACAGACAGACAGCCAGACGGATGCTGGACAAAATGTGATCAGAAAAGCTCACTTGAGTTTTCAGCTCAGGTGAGCTAAAAAAGAGAGAGTACAATCTACTTGTAATGGTCGACACACTGTTTAAAGGATTATTTTCGCCCCATGTTATTTTTGCCCTGGCTATCAAGCTTTAAATGATTTCCTCCCATTTGCCATGACCCAGATTGTTACTAAATAGATAATGTAACTTTGTCTGTGTAAATTCACCCAGTTTTGAGTCAGGTGCTTTTTTTCTCTCTCTTGTTCTCTGCTTTAATTCCTTAATTCACCCACTGAAAATGAGGGTGAAAGAGGCAGAAATAAAGGGAGCAAAAAATACCCTGTGTTTACAGTATTTAATACTATACTTTCTTACTTGCACCGAGATGTATAATTACTGGTACTACTAAGAAGTATAATTACTATAATTACTGGTATTACTAAGAAGTATAATTACTATAATTACTGGGTGTCTTCAGAGATCATTAAGGTATCAGTGTCTTTGCAGTTTTTTATTATCTTATTAGAGTCAAAATTTACATTCCCTGCATTAGCCTTTGTAAACCAAATTAATAGTAGACGAAAGTATATGTGACCAGACTGCAGGCATCTTTATATATTGCTCATAATAGAAAAGAAGTATTCATTAGCCACTTTTTAAATTTATTACTAGCTGTGAAGAACAAAATATGCTATTATACTTTTGTTAAAATGTTTCCTATACATGTATAGAGTTAAGAAGGTAAAATAACTATTTTTTACAGTCTGAAATTTTTTTTTCTTATAGCAAAGTTATACCACTGGGAACAGTTTGTGCTACCCACCCAACAGAAAATTTCCATGCAACTTTTACCCCAATTTTCTCAATATGATTGGTTGGCGATTTTTAAACACTGAAGAGTTTCACAAAGCTATATCCTGGGGTAGGAAATGTGATAACCAACCCTCAGAGATTATAAAATACATCATTATAATAAAACACTTATCCACTGGCTGTGAGTGGGATAGCTCTTTCATCAAAACCTTAATTGAAACTATTCCCCTTGGGCAAGCCCTTGGGGAAAAGTTCCTGTCACTGGTTTGATAAAAGAGCTACCCCAAGCACAACCAGTGGATGAGTGTGTAAGTACTATGAAGCTATAGCTTGCAATGCCCTTGATGGCTAAGCCATATATTTTACTGTTAACTACCCAACTCTTTATTTTACTAATGTTCAATGGAAGTAGGATTCTGAATGGGTTCCAGGTGTCTCATGACATTCTTAGAAAAAAGAAAGTATTTTACCACCTTAATTACCAGATATTCCCTATATTGCTAGTTGTAGAGGTAAATATGTTAATTCTATAATTCTGTGTAGCTAAACTAGATTTAGCACTGGTTTTGAAGGCAAAAATATTACCACTACTTGGGTACTTTATGATATTGCTTAGCTTGATAACATTTTTTACGACTGTGTAGCTACCTCATTATATTGCTGGTTGTTGAGGGATAGTCTGCCTGTAACCCTGTCACAAACTTCTCTGTAAGGTGCTCTATACTTGCACTGTCAGGTGCCTAAATAAAAAAAAAATCAGAGTCAAAATTCCAATACATGTATAGCAAACAGGTATTTTTTTTTAAATTCATATTTTCACTACATTCAAACCACTGTTTCTTTTAGGGGTATTTAGTAATGATCTCTGATCACTGATTGAGATAAAGTTTAAAATTAGCTATTCTTTTTTTTTTTTATTGAAAATCCGAAAGGGAGAATTCTATTAAAATGGCCACAATTACTGAACAAGAAATACCTACAAGAACAACTCAAGAATATACATAGCTCCAAATAAAATCAATTTCTTTGACATAGTTCTTCCATCATATTGTGAAAGGCATTCATAAATACAAGCTATGATTACCTTAGTAGTAATTGTCGGAATAAAAACAGTAGGTACATTGTTCAGGATATTGTACATTGTGACCTCTTTACTGCTGAAGTCTCTAAAATATGACATGGAAAAAAAAGATAAATTAGACACACCATAATTAAGTCAACACTAATTAGTATTTTCTCATCTACAGTAAAACACGCTTATAACAAAGTGCCAGGGAGATGGACAATTTTGCTTCATTATAAACGTAATTCGATCGATATATCCATCAAGTTCACGATACATGTATATTTTAAAGCCACGGAGAATGAAAATCACTTCGCTGTTAGCATCAATTCGTTATAAGCATGTTTGCTATAAGGGTATTTTACAGTATCAAGAGGAAGTGATTGGATTACCTGATAGGTCTAACAATAGTGATGTCACTGCACCTTGTATCTGCAAATGCCTGTTGATGATGATAAAGTTAGGAATGTGTTTAAAAGTTGAATAGCAGACATATTACTTTCTCTTTACAATATGTTGATAGTAGCTTAATTAAGCATCCACTTCATAAACATTCAGAAATTCAATTCCAGAATTGTCTTCTTCTTTTTTTTATTTTACCCTAGTGATTCCATACCATCTTCAGTTTTTTCACAGATTTTTGTAATACCAAAAGTTTACATATCATACTTCTCATCTTCTTTTACCATGTCGCTTAATAATTATTTATCTAATACAGTCATTTTACCATGTGTTTAATGATTTTGTAACTTAATCAATTCAAAACTTTTTATGAACTGTGGGACTTACTGTATCCATGGCAACATGTGCCCCCCTGCCCTGAGCTATGTCAGTGAGCAGATGGACAGCCAGTCTGGTACTGCAGTGCCCCAACATTACCTTGGAGTAACCTTTCTTACAAGCAAGGTCAATCAGAATGTTCTGTCTACAAAATGGAATTAAAACCTTAGGAAAGATCAGATATCAGATAAGCTTGTATTTTTATGCTTCTCTTTACACAGATTTTAACATGTAAGCCCCATTTTGACAGCAAAAATAATGGGTATCAAAACACATTACTCTAAAAAATTATATCAGTTCAAAATTCTAAATTTGCCATTAAAGCTGAACACATTTCGTAAATAGGCATACGCCATATTCAATTATATTATCTACAATATCAGCACCGAGATATACCCTTCGCATTCGTTACACCTGACTGCTTTAT